CCCCCAGGAAGCCCCCCTTGCGCTGGGGCAGCAGGACGGCGGCTCCGGGCGGGACGGGCACCGGGGGGGCACCCGGGGGGCATCCGGCAGGCGGCGGCTGCAAGACACAAACGGAGGGGACAGATCACTGTCACGACATGGGGACAGCCGAGGTCACTGTCACGACATGGGGACGGCCGAGGTCACCGTCACATCAGGGCGGGCCAGCCAGCGTCAGCGTCGTGACAGGAGGGAGACAAGGTCACTGCCACAGGACAGGACAGCCAAGCTTGGTGTCACACCTGGGGTGGGCACGAAGCCCCCTGGGCTCTGGGGACACAGCAATGTCTGGGGACACGTTGGGTCCTCAGCCCTGACCCACCTCTGAGGCCTGCGGCACCTGGGCCAGGTAGGGGACACCTGTCACCTGTGCTGCCACCTGGGGTCCAGGAAAGCAGGAACCTCTCAGGTTCCAGGGAAGGGGAGCCAAGAGAGTCTGGGGAAGCAGGGACCAGGACCCTCCCCCAGCTCCCAGGAAACGCCAGGCCCAGGTGTGGGGACAGTTGAGGTCAAGTGGCCGAGGCCTCCCTTGGGCAGTACCAGCCACACCCAGCCTGGCTGTGAACCAGAGCCACCCGCAACCCCCGATCCCACCTGGAAGTGCCCAAGGCCAGGCGGGCTGGGACTCATCTGGGCCAGGGCCAGGTGATCTTCCGGTCCCTCCCCACCCAAATCCCCCTGTTCTGTGGCTCCACCTGCACTCACCGGGATGCTGCCAGTGCCACCTGTCCCCAGCCTGGCTCCGGTGTCAAACCCCCCTTCCAGCAGCACCGTGGATCCCGGTGGATACACCTGTCCCAGTGGGAAATAGGCCACGGGGGTGCCCAGAGCCCCCACGGGCAGCGGCGGGGCCAGGGGCAGGTACAGGGACGCACCTGGGTACACTGGGGACATGGGGGGGACGCCGGCAGCACCCAGGGGGACGAAGCTGAGACGGTAGAGCTGGAAAAACATCAAGTCAGCAAAGTTAGACAGGTGTTATCCCACATCCAGGTGTGCATCCAGCACCCAGGGGGACTCTCAGCCACCTGCAGGAGCAGGGAATCACCTGGAATTCATCCCTGGGCTTTACTGGGGGGGTTTTGGGTCACCTGGGCTACGAGAAGGAGGGGTCCCTGTCCAAGGGAACCAGGTGAGCTCCAGGGTTCTCCCTGGGCTATGGACAGGAGGGGTCCCAGGGGTAAATGCCCCTCTGGACAGGTGTCCCACCTACCTCGGGGTACGCAGCTGCGGGGTCAAGGTAGGGGGGCGGCTGCAGCAGGGGAAGAGTCTG